TACTATGAAAGTATAAGGAAAGTTAAAATATACTGCTGAAAAGTAATAAAAGAGTTTTGAAATAATTATCATAAAATTTACTGAATTAAACTGAAAACTGTTACTTTTTAATGAAAAATTGCTGAAATATTTATGAAATTAATGAATGGAGTCAATTGAGAGAAATTTTCAAATACATTTCAGCAAAATTTCGTTAAATTTTCAGAAAAATATTTCCATCAGGGTATCTGAATCTTCTACAACATAACTATGAAATTGGATAAATCCGTCTGATACTGTACATATATGAGACCTAGTTCTTCAATTAAAAGTGTATCTGGTTTATTAGAGACCGTAATTCCAGATATGACTGTCGAATTTCGTTGTTTCCAGTTTCGAAATACAAATCACTATTCATATATGACATCACCTTGAAATAAAGATTATGACATAAGGAAAGCTAAGATTGCAAATTTATTTTATTTTTTTTTCTTCTATTATTAATATTATCATATTAATGAAACATGCTCCATACTGACATAACACATATTAGCTAGCATCTACAACTGATTTTCTGTTATCTATTATGTTAATTAACTATTACTATAAAATATAAATAACTGCTAACCTTTACAGGACTTTCCTTCGTATACTCATTAATACCATATTTTGCACTATTAATTATAGGGCAGTAATTTGTACTCACTGTTTGTTCATTACGCCTGAAGTCAATACAAAAACATTCTTTTTCTTTGAGATTCGTGGTATGACTATTATAAAAAAGACTTATATAAATATATAAATATGGCAATGAAAATTTAGGCTTGCATTAAAATTATACTTATACTATTTCGCTCTCCAACATAACAAGTAGTCCATATCAAGTTTATGGAATATTATATCGCAGCGTATTCCAAGTCTTCTCGCCACACTGTGATATATTGTTGCCATAACTACCGTAGTACCAATTTTATCTTGTAAAACCTGTCACAAATTACAATAAAAAATATTAATATTGAGACATAACAAGCAAAGAATTGTGCTGACAACGTTAAGTATTCATAATGTATTATAATTTATAACTTACGCAATCTATACAAGAGTATTCAAGAATGTATCTCCTATTCCAATATTTGCAAAATGTAGTTCCACGAAAACCTAAATTATATAAAACTATACAAAGACTCTCTATAATCTGTCTTCCTTCTATGCTATTCCAATGATTGTCATCGATATTATTGTCTGCCCAAAGGAGAAGCTGCTCTTCTGATATCGAGAATATTGGATGCGCCGGATATTTATTTTTAAGGCGCTCCAATACCTGCTCTGCAATCTTCTGCAGTGACGTACTCACATACAAGTAAGACATACATTTCTGGGGTTGATACCATTGTGCTAAAATGAAGGCCGCTTTTTCTAAAATCTGTTGTTTCTCAGGATAATTTAGAAATTCGTGCACCTTCTTCCTTAAACGATAATGCTGCAGGTATGAAAAAAGCTTCTCTGCGCAATATCTTAGTATGAAATCGGATTCCCTAAAACAATTTGTATACAATATTTAAAATCTAATATTTTCTGAATTAAATATGCAATAAATGCGTTATAATCTGCTGTTTTAACAATTTGTTAAATCTTACATTGGAGGATCTGTAAGCAAGCTTCTCAGCTCATTTACAAAGAAATAATAATTCATAAAAGATGCGCCTTTATCTGGATCAAACAGTGAATGAAAAATCGTAAAGTCAGCATCAAAATTATCGTTGTAAAAGTCTTCGCCAGACATCAGCGACAAGTAATGCCATAATTCTTTCTTACATTTTACACCTGCTTTTACTTGTTCAAGAAAACCTTTATTTTCTAGGCGCAGTTGTTCGTCATATTCTTCTCTTAGATGAGGCCATCTAAAATTAAAACAAAAAATACATGTCATTTTTCAAAGTTATATAATTTTACACATTTTACAGTTTCTTTATATAATTTTCCAAAATTATACAAACCAGATAAAGTTATTGTAACCGAAATAAAAAATTTAAAACAAACGTTACTATACATTTCAAATTTTGACTAAAATAGAAAATTTATTCGAAACAAATGAAATAAGAGATATTTGCTTGTCACTAAACTTGCATCCCGAATAAGATAAATTAAGCTTGTTTGCATAAAAACCAATGTGAAAAAATACCTCTGATAAAATTTCTTCCGCCAAAGTGCATTGTCAGTGGTTAATAAGTTGTAAAATTTTTTGCATGAGAAAGCTAAACTCATAATATCCTTAAAGCTGACGCTCTCATCGCATAAAATGATATTAATCACTTCAGTGTGCAAGTGCGCTATTGTAGTCATTGCATATATATCAGATAGTTCAGCGAAGAACGAAAGAGCCTGAAATTTACAATAATGGCAAGTATGTCCGTTATTAAACGTTGTACAACTAATTTCGTATTATTTACAAATGTGCAAAACGTATCACTCAAGGTGCCTTTTTATGTTGACGTTCAATTTCAGCGGTAAACAACACGTGATCGATAATGACCAACTGCTACAGTAGTTTTGGTCACGTGTTTTCTCACCAAGCCAATGAACTCTATACATTGGCTGCGTTTCCTTTGGATGCTTATGCGCTGTGAGCGCTTACGCTTATAAGCGGTAATTTCAATTGTTCTTTTTGGTTTGTGAGTGCTATAGCGTGATGTTAACTCTAGCGGTCCATATTTTTATAGTTAAAGGTTTACACCGTTTACTAGCTCTATCTATATATTTTACATGCATTGATTTCACAAAAATATATTAAATAATAAATTCAGTTATTTCATCATTTCTAATTATATAATTTGTTTATAAGACAATAAAATACTTTAAATAATTTGGTTACTACGTGAATTAGATATTTCATATATAACTTGCGTTAATTACATACCGTAACTGCATATATATGACTTTTATTTATTCAACAACTGTTCAGCGCATCTTTTCTCCTCAGAGTTAGTACAATTATCCTGCAGAAATTTTGAAGCACGAAATTTATTTGAAAATATCTTTTACTTAAAGGTATATTTATATAGAAACATGTTTATGCAATAGAAATGTTTGGATTTTTAAAAAATTTATATGAACATTATACAAATTTTCGTTCTGACATTAATTTCTTGCCGCATAGTGTAAGAAAACAATGTTACAAAAAATAAGAAAATTTTATGAGAATTAAAACAATTGTTTATATTTATGTTCTGTTATACATAATTCTTTGTGTATATGTTATGCACACATTTATTTATATATACCCTGATGGAAATATTTTGCTGAAAGTACTATGAAATCAATGAAAAGTAAAATAAAAGTTTTTGAAAAATTACTGAATATATAATATTTCAAAATAAATCATAATTTTCTGTATGAAAATTTAAGGTAATACTATGAAATATAAGGAAAGTTAAAATATACTGCTGAAAAGTAATAAAAAAGTTTTGAAATAATTATCATGAAATTTACTGAATTAAACTGAAAACTGTTACTTTTTAATGAAAAATTGCTGAAATATTTATGAAATTAATGAATAAGGTCAATTGAGAGAAATTTTCAAATACATTTCAGCAAAATTTCGTTAAATTTTCAGAAAAATATTTCCATCAGAGTATCTGAATCTTCTGCAACATAACTATGAGATTGGATAAATCCGTCTGATGCTGTACATATATGAGACCTAGTTCTTCAATTACAAGTGTATCTGGTTTATTAGAGTCTGTAATTCCTGATTTGACTGTCGTATAAATACTTTGGGTTCAGTTTCGAAATACAAATCATTATTCATATATGTCATCACCTTGAAATAAAGATTATGATATAAGCAAAGCTAAGATTGCAAATTTATTTTATTCCTTTTTCTTCTATTATTAATATTATCATATTAATGAAACATGCCCCATACTGACATAACACATATTAGCTAGCATCTACAACTGACTTTTTGTTATCTATTATGTTAATTAACTATTACTATAAAATATAAATAACTGCTAACCTTTACAGGACTTTCCTTCGTATACTCATTAATACCATATTTTGCACTATTAATTATAGGGCAGTAATTTGTACTCACGGTTTCTTCGTTACGCCTGAAGTCAATACAAAAACATTCTTTTTCTTTGAGATTCGTGGTATGACTATGATAAAAAAGACATATATATAAATATGATAAGAATGAAAATTTAGACTTGTATTAAAACTATACTTATACTATTCCGCTCTCCAGCATAACAAGTAGTTCATATTAGATTTATGGAATATTATATCGCAGCGTATTCCAAGTCTTCTCGCCACACTGTGATATATTGTTGCCAGAATTACCGTAGTACCAATTTTAGCTTGTAAAACCTGTCACAAATTACAATAAAAATTATTAATATTGAAATATAACAAGCAAAGAACTGTGGTGACAACGTTAAATATTCATAATATATTATAATTTATAACTTACGTAATCTATACAAGATTGTTCGAGAATGTATCCTTCATCCCAATTACAAACAATAGTTCCACGAAAATCTAAATTATATAAAACTTTGCAAAGACTCTCTATAATCTGTCTTCCTTCTATGCTATTCCAATGATTGTCATCGATATTATTGTTTGCCCAGAGGAGAAGCTGCTCTTCTGATATTGAGCATATGGGATGCGCAGGATTTTCTTTTTGAAGGCACTCCAATACCTGCTCTGCAATCTTCTGCAGTGACGTACTCACATACAAGTAAGACATACATTTTTGGGGTTGATACCATTGTGCTAAAATGAAGGCTGCTTTTTCTAAAATCTGTTGTTTCTCAGGATAATTTAGAAATTTGTGCACCTTCTTCCTTAAACGATAATGCTGCAGGTATGAAAAAAGCTTCTCTGCGCAATATCTTAGTATGAAATCGGATTCCCTAAAACAATTTGTATACAATATTTAAAATCTAATATTTTCTGAATTAAATATGCAATAAATGCGTTATAATCTGCTGTTTTAACAATATGTTAAATCTTACATTGGAGGATCTGTAAGCAAGCTTCTCAGCTCATTTACAAAGAAATAATAATTCATAAAAGATGCGCCTTTATCTGGATCAAACAGTGAATGAAAAGTCGTAAAGTCAACATCAAAATTATCGTTGTAAAAGCGTTCGTAATAGTTAGACATCAGCAACAAGTAATGCCATTGTGGCGGCTCACCGCCACACCGCTGCACTGACGCGGTATAATACACCGCGGCGCCGCTACGCGCCGCAGGCCTTCTACCAGTTACAAGCTTGCGGACCCACCGCCAGGTTGCGCAGGCGGTGAAGAGCCTTCTCGCGATCAAGCTTCGATCGACGAGATATAAAAGAGCTGCTCCGCAGATCTTTCCTCACTCACTCGCTTCAAGGCGAGCTCTCACTAAGGGCCCTTGAACGGAGTCACAGCTCTGCTTCGAAG